AAGGGGAGAGCCTGTGTTTGTAAATCGGAGAGAAAAGGGGATGAATGTGAGAATGAGAATGAGAAAAGGAGATAGGCAGATAGCAGAGCAGAGAGTTTGTACTTGTGACAGAGTGTGTGCATGTGTGTGTGAGAGTAAGAGAGAACTCCTATACTTCATAACCACAATAATAGAGAGAAGGGATTCTTATTCAGAGGTTTCTTGTTTTACATTCAGGTTTCTCTCACAACATTGACCTGGAATTTGTGTCAACAGTTGCTTAAGATTAATTGTCTGAATCTAATCAGTATTATTCATGATTTGTACTGATCGCATTCCCTCGACTTAATGTGATTGAGGGCTGTTGGGTGTCAGAGGTTTCAATGCACTAATGAAACACAGCTATACAATTTGGACTAAAATATCAATATTTATACAATGCAATCTTGATTGCAGTAATAGTTCTCAGTGCACTGTGGAAGGAAGAGAGAACCCTAGCAAATAATTTAGGTTAAATTAACTGTATTGTCAAAATGTGACAAGTTACCACATGATCGATCAGCGCATGAGTTGTGTGTGGTGACATTCAGTTCCTGTATGTGGTTAGAATCAGTATCTGTGGGACTCTACTGCAGTGAGAGTCGGTGTTTGTGGGACCCGTACCCCAGTTAGAGCCAGTGTGGGACTGTATCCCAGTGAGACCCAGTGTGTGTGGGACCCTAAACCTCAGTGAGAGTCAGTCTGTGTGAACCTTATCCTAATGAGAATTAGTGTATGTAGAACCTGTACCCCAATGAGAGTCAGGTGTGTGGAAATCCTACCCCAGTGAGTGTCAGTGTTTGTGGACCCCGTGCCCCAGTGAGAGTCAGTGTGTGTGTGGGACACTGTACCCCAATGAGAGTCAGTGTATGGGTGGGACCCTGTACCTCAGCGAGAGTCAGTGTGTGCGTGTGGGACCCATACCCCAGTGACAGTCAGTACATATGGGACCTTGTACCCCAGTGAGAATCAGTGTGTGAGGGACTCGTTTCCAAGTGAGAGTCAGGGTGTGTTGGACCCATATCCCAGTGAGAGTCTGTGTGTGGGACCTTATCCTGATTAGAGTTAATGTATGTAGAACCTGTACCCCAATGAGAGTAAATGAATGTCGAAACCATATGTACCCCAGTTAGAGTCAGTGTATGTGGAACCCCTACGCCAGTGAGAGTCAGTGTGTGTGGAACCCGTACCCTAACCATTACCCTGGCAACTAATTGGGCTGCCAGGCCATTTCAGATCTTGGTGAAGAGTCAACCACTTTGCTGCATGTTTGCAGTTGCATGTGAGCCAAAGCATATTTGATGTCCCACAGAGTTAGACTTTCTCTCTATTCAAGAACTAAAGAACCCATCAACCTGGTAACACCATCCTTTTCATGCCTGAGGCTGATGGTCCCAATCTTTCAGCTTGTGGTGTTTTTACAAGGTTTTTCGGTGCTTCACACATTGCCTGCTGCTTCTTCCTTTCACTTAAAGTCCCTGGAATCCATTATTAGTATCCAGATGAACTGAACTCGGGAAGGGCTGAGCCCTCCAACACGAACCGCTATCCCTGTTACCCACTTGTATTTTTGAGCTTGCAATAATCTTGTCCTGTGACTTCATAACAAGGTATAGTAATCTTGCAGAACCAATGTGTTCTTTTCTTTCTGTTGAGTTGACAATGATTCAAATTAAACCATTTATTAAGTGTCAGTTTCAAATGTCCAAGCTTATGAATTAACCAAGAGTTTAACATTCATTGGGGTCAATGATTTGCCCTCGCAGTTTAATGAGATTGGGAGCTAACTGAGGGTGACTGCAGCATTCAGAGTCAAATAACATTAAAATTAAAGAATTTTAAACTATCTATTATTTCATTTCTTTCTGTCAGGGACATCACAGGAAAGATATATGAGGTCTTTGCTGAGGTGGAGTGTCACAGTGGAGGGCTGCTAATGTTATTTGGTTTCCATTTTAAAGTCATATACTCTTCTCTATATAATATTTTGAGATTTCTTATTAATATTTGTAGCTTAATAATAAGAAATGTCAATTTGGGAAATGGATTTAGTTGGTCCGGGCAGTTGAGGAGCAGGGTGATGCAAAACTTCATTGTCATCACTGGAGGGGAGGGAATTATTGTTATATATGGTCACACTGTCTCTATCATCAACAGGAAAAAAATACAATGTTAAAAAAAAGTTCATTTTGCAGTCTAACAAGATCTTTAAAAATAGAGGCACACAACACAAAAGCAAGAGAATGACATATATTTAAATCTTTTTAAATAACTGGTTAGGTGTCAGCTGGAGTTTGTGGCCAATTCCAGGAAGAAGAGTTTTGTAAAGTATTACAAATCAGTATTACTAACTGGGGACTAAAGGTGAAAACCTTCAGATATATGAAGAGATTGAAGTAACTATGGTTCTACTCCTTACAGCAAGAAGTTTAAGGGGAGATTTAAAAGAGGTATTTAAAATCATGAAGGGATTTTGATAAATTAACTAAACAGGAAAAACAAAATCACAAGGCAAGTGATGGGTAATGAGATGATATCGAATTAAGATGATTAGTAAAAGAATGAGAGGTAGCAACGATGAGTAGTTGTTAGATAATGAGTTGTTATGACCCAAAATAGAAGATCTCAGAAGAAGGTTTAAAAGTAACTTTTTGAAGGGAGCCAGATAAATTCTTCAAGGGGACATATTTACAGGGCTGTGGGTGAAGAGTAAGGGATGTTAGATTCACTGGACACCTTTACTAAACAAAAGTAAAATACTGCAGATGCTGGAAATCTTAAATAAAAACAGGAAGTGCTTGAGAACTCAATGGGTCTGGTAGCATCAGTAGAGAGTAAAACAGTTAATGTACTAAATGTTGATTAGTATGGGGATCTAGGGTTTTGGGGGGACAGCGGGAGAATGAGGTTGTGAAACATACCAGCCATGACTGAATGGTGGAGCAAACTCGATAGGCCGAATGGCCTAATTCTGCTTCTGTAGCTTATAGTCTGAAGGTTTCAAGTTCAAAGACTTGAAAGACAGTTGGCAAGGGTGCCAATATATGCGTTCTATACAGAAAAGGGTTATGGTAAGAGACAAAAAAAATCGCTGGTAGGCATAGTCTATAGGCCAACAAATAACAACATCACGGCAGAGTGGGCAAAAAACAAAGATACAACTAGTGCATGTAAAAATGGTACAGCAATTATCATGAGGGATTTTAATCCACACATTGGTTGGTCAAGGCAAGTTGGTCAAGGCAGCCAGGAGGAGTTCATAGAATATATCTGCAATAGTTTCCCCAAACAGCATGTAATGGGACTTAGAAGGGAACAAGGTATCCTACATCTGGTCCTGTGCAAAGAGACAGGAATAATGAATGGTCTCATAGCTAGGGATCCTCTCAGAAGGAGTGATCACAGCATGGTTGAATTTAAAATACAGATGGAGGGTGAGAAGGTAAAATCCAACACTGGTGTCTTGTGCTTAAACAAAGACCTAAGTGGGATGATGGTGGAATTTGCTGAGGAAGAATGCGATCAATGACTATGTAGTGGGACAATTGAGGAACAGTGGAGGACTTTCAAAGTGATTTTCCATCGTGTTCAGCAAAAGTATACATAAGTGAAAAGGAAGGACTGTGGGAAAAGGGATAATCAGACATGGATAACTAAGGAAATAAGGGAGGGTATCAAATTGAAAGCTAATTCATACAAAGTGACAAAGATTGGTGGGAAAGTGGAGGATTGGGAAATCTTTAAGGTCAACAGAAAGCCATGAATAAAGCAGGTCATATATACATAAAGTTGGTCATATATACATAAAAATATTAATATAGCATAAATATATGTGAGACATAACTGGTAAGCTCACACACATCACTGTCTTACCATTTCTTTACCCTGTCAGATGAAGCATTTGTTCCAGTTTGCAGAGATCAAAAGAGGCATTTCTAATGTATATTTAGTTTAATGTTCTTGTACAAACAATTATATAAAACTGTTTTAAACCACTCCAAAGTGCAACCGGGACCATAGAGTGTTTTGAATGACATCTGTTTTTAGACTGTTGTCCATCTCTCGGTCCTGTGCCTGCTAACAACAGATGGGTAACTATTAAATGAGCCTCTAGAAACACAGAAACATCACCACCAATGACAAGCTGTAAAAGCAGATGCACAGTCCAAAGCATGTAACAGCAAATAGCAACTAGCTAACAGGGGAATCCTACACAGAGACAGAAATACTGCTTCATTAGGCAATGTTGTTAAAAACTTAACACTTTTTGTCTCTTTAAGGTGACTTGAAATAATATTCAGCAAAATTGCTTGAAGTAAACAATGACCTTAAGAAGCTGTGTTTAATATTTCAAAGGCAGGACACTCATTTTCTTGACATTTTGTAATTATCTGTTACCTTGAGTTAAAGCAAGACCTCGATCCACACAATATCACTAACATCCCTCCCTCCCAGCTCCAACATTTCCTCTCTTCATTTTTCTACATTCCTCCCCTCGTTTCCCCATTTCTGTTCTCCAGCATTTTATCCTGATTTATTTGTGTTTATTCATTAGTTCCCTATCCTTTGTTTCCCTGTATTGAATATTCTATAACTGGAGCGAATGCAGCTGGAGTATTGATGAATTCTGTGAGAGTTGGAGGTTGTATTGGAAGCAGATTAGTGGTCGGTTGGACCGAGCTTCTCTGTGACTAACTCAGTCATTCACAGCAGTTAACGCAAGATTGTGATTCCTGTCAGAAATACTAAACACCAACTAGAAACAAATGGTCCACCGAAGATGAACAGACACAGTTCTGTTCCCACACGGAATAGTTTGATACAGATCTTACTCTCAGAGTCCTCCTCCCAATTATTGCAGCTTTACAATATTTTGCAACAATTTTTTTTGTTAGTTTCCTTAAATGAAGATTGTTATTAAAAAGTCCCCATAACTTGTTTGTTCAGTTCGCTGAGCCATTCCTGGGTTTGCTTGTGTCACTTTCTGAGGTTATGAGATCCCAGTGGCACCCAGACTCATTCCACTTGTGTGGCTCATACGGGGTAAGGTTTGCATGGACTTGCTGTAATCGTGGGTTACAATCCGCCCGTTCTCACCAGTGCCTCCCTGTGCTGGGACCCTCTCCGTGGCCCTCATCGCTTCACTTATCGAAAGCTGCTAAGGAGAAGAGAGCACATACTGGATAAGATAATGGAATCAATAGCTAGGAATTCAAGATTACCATGAGGATATGAACACTGTATGAGTACCATTAGGTTGATGTAAAGGTAAAACATCCAACTGAACCATAAAATGCTTTTAAAAACCAAAAAAACTGCGGATGCTGTAAATCAGGAACAAAAACAAAGTTGCTGGAAAAGCTCAGCCGGTCTGGCAGCATCTGTGAAGCATCAGAGAAGTTCTGAGGAAGGGTGACCAGACCCGAAACGTAAACTCTGTTTTCTCCTTCACAGATGCTGCCAGACCGGCTGAGCTTTACCAGCAACTTTGTTTATATTCCTGATTTACAGCATCTGCAGTTCCTTTGGTTTTTATTTTGTGAAGCATCAGAGGCTGCCAGACCTGCTGAGCTTTTCCAGCAACTTTGTTTGTGTTCATAAAATGCTTTTGTCTATTTTTGCCATCTGCAATTCTTGTATCACAATATATACAGGATTAGGGTTGATGGAGATTGCAGGAGGCTAGGCTGAAGGCAAACATTACTTCTGATTGACCATCATCTTCTAACTATATATGAGAAGGGGTTAAAATTGTTTCAGAGATAGTAGGAACTGCAGATGCTGGAGAATCTGAGATAACAAGGTGTAGAGCTGGATGAACAGAGCAGGCCAAGCAGCATCAGAGGAGCAGGAAGGCTGATGTTTCGGACCTAGACCCTTCTTCAGAAATGGGGGAGGGGAAGGGGGTTCTGAAATAAATAGGGAGAGAGGGGGAGGCGGATAGAAGATGGAGAGAGGAGAAGATAGGTGGAGAGGAGACAGACGGGTCAAAGAGGCGGGGATGGAGCCAGTAAACGTGAGTGTAGGTGGGGAGTTAGTGAGGAGATAGGTCAGTCCAGGGAGGACGGACAGGTCAAGGGGGCGGGATGAGGTTAGTAGGTAGGAGATGGGGGTGGGGCTTGAGTGGGGGGAGGGGATAGGTGGGAGGAAGGACAGGTTAGGGAGGCGGGGACGAGCTGGGCTGGCTTTGGGATGCGGTAGGGGGAGGGGAGATTTTGAAGCTTGTGAAGTCCACATTGATACCATTGGGCTGCAGGGTTCCCAAGCGGAATATAAGTTGCTGTTCCTGCAACTTTCGGGTGGCATTGTTGTGGCACTGCAGGAGGCCCAGGATGGACATGTCGTCTGAGGAATAGGAGGGGGAGTTGAAATGGCTCGCGACTGGGAGGTGCAGTTGTTTATTGCGAACTAAGCGTAGGTGTTCTGCAAAGCGGTCACCAATCCCCCGCTTGGTTTCCCCGATGTAGAGGAGGCCACAACGGGAACAGCGGATGCAGTATAGCACATTAGCAGATGTGCAGGTGAACATCTGCTTGATGTGGAAAGTCTTCTTGGGGCCTGGGATGGGGGTGAGGGGGGAGGTGTAGGGGCAGGTGTAGCACTTCCTGCGGTTGCAGGGAAAAGTGCCGGGTGTGGTGGGGCTGGAGGGGAGTGTGGAGCGGACAAGTGGAGCGGCGGAAAAACTGCTCAATGTCCAAACGTGACCAGTATTCGTTGATGTGTGGGTGGAGGGGGACAAAGGTGAGCCCTTTACTGAGGACTGATCGTTCGTCCTCAGTAAGGGGGAGGTCTGGAGGGAAAAATGTCTTTGGTGGTGGGGTCGGATTGAAGATGGCAGAAGTGTTGGGGGATGATGCGTTGGATCTGGAGGTTGGTGGGATGGTACATGGGGAGGAGGGGGATCCTGTTTTGGTTGTTATTGCGGGGAGGGGGTGTGAGGGATGAGTTGCGGGAAATGTGGGAGACACGGTCGAGGGCGTTCTCAACCACTGAGGGGGGTAGCTGCGGTCCTTGATAAACGAGGACATCTGAGATGTACGGGAGTGGAATGCCTCATCCTGGGAGCAAATGCGGCGGAGGCGAAGGAATTAGGAATAGGGGATGGCATTTTTGCAGGAAGGTGGGTGGGAGGAGGTGTATTCTAGGTAGCTGTGGGAGTCGGTGAGCTTGAAATGGATATCGGTTTCTAGGTGGTTGCCAGAGATGGAGACAGAGAGGTCCAGGGAGGAGAGAGAGGTATTAGAGATGGTCCAGGTGAAGTTAAGGTTGGGGTGGAAGGTGTTGGTGAAGTGGATGAACTGTTTGAGCTCCTCGTGGGAGCACGAGGCGGCGCCGATACAGTCATCAATGTAACGGAGGAAGAGGTGGGGTTTAGGGCCAGTGTAGGTACGGAAGAGGGATTGTTCCACATAACCTACAAAGAGGCAGGCATAGCTTGGGCCCATGCGGGTACCCATGGCCACCCCCTTTGTCTGTACGAAGTGGGAGGACTTGAAAGAGAAGTTGTTGAGGGTGAGGACGAGTTCGGCTAAGTGGATGAGGGTGTCAGTGGAGGGGGACTGGTCGGGCCTGCAGGACAGGAAGAAGCGGAGGGCCTTTAGGCCATCTGTATGCGGGAATGCAGGTGTACAGGGACTGGACGTCCATGGTAAAGATGAGGTGTTGGGGACCAGGGAAGTGGAAGTTTTGGAGGAGGTCGAGGGCGTGGGTAGTGTCACGGACGTAGGTAGGGAGTTACTGGACCAAAGGGGAGAAAATGGAGTTGAGATAGGTGGAGATAAGTTCGGTGGGGCAGGAGCAGGCGGAGACAATGGGTTAACCAGGGCAGTCAGGTTTGTGGATTTTGGGAAGGAGATAGAAGAGGGTGGTGTGGGGTTGGGGAATGATGAGGTTGGAGGCTGTGGGTGGGAGGTCACCTGAGGTGATGAGGTTGTGGATGGTTTGGGAGATGATGGTTTGGTGGTCGGGGCTGGGGTCATGATCAACGGGGCGGTAGGAGGAAGTGTCGGAGAGTTGGCGCCTGGCCTCGGCGATGTAGAGGTCAGTGCGCCATAGCACAACTGCGCCTCCCTTGTCCGTGGGTTTTATGGTGAGGTTGGGATTGGAGCGGAGGGCTGCACGTTCTGCAGGGGAGAGGTTGGAGTGGGTGAGAGGGGTGGAGAGGTTGAGGCGATTGATGTCACGACAGCAGTTGGAGATGAAGAGGTTGAGGGAGGGTAGGAGGCCTTGGGGTGGTGTCCAGGAGGAGGGGGTGTATTGCAGGCGGGAGAAGGGGTCAGTAGAGGGAGGGTTCGGCTCACGGTTGAAGAAGTGCGGAGGCGGAGGCGGTGGAAAAACTGCTCAATGTCCAAACGTGAGCGGTATTTGTTGATGTGTGGGTGGAGGGGGACAAAGGTGAGCCCTTTACTGAGCACTGACCGTTCGTCCTCAGTAAGGGGGAATTTTGGGGGATGGTGAAGACCCGGCAGGGCTGGGTGCTATTGTCTCCTCTGGAGCTGCTGGCTGTGGAGGCGGTGGGTGGAGCGACGTTGGCGTCAGTGGTGGGCAGTGCGGCGTTTGCTGTGGGCGGAGTTGCATCAGCGTTGGCGGTGGGCGGAGTTGTGTCGGCGGTGGGCAGAGCAGGGTAGGCGTGGGCAGTGGGAGGAGCGGGAAAGGCGGCAGCAGCAGTGGTGACGGTATGTGCGTCCTCAGTGTCTATGGTGTTGGCCTCGGAAATGGAGGCGGTGGCATCAGCAGCGGTGTCGATGGCATTCGCTGTCCCGGAAGTGGTGTATCCGGCGGCGGAGGATGTGACGTCATCCGTGGGTGCTCCGACAGTGGCCACAAGGCCGATGGCGGCGGGCACATTGTGGGGAAGGTCCTGGGTGGGGTTGGGGATTTGGGAGGTGGAGGAAGCCCGTTTTAGGTGGTAGGCACAAGTAAGTTTACTGTACTTACGGTTTTTAGTGTCCAATAAAGCTGAGTAGAATTGTGAGTTGAGGTTGTGGATCCCACCGCCTCCACAGCGGGAACAGTGGATACAGTATACCACATTAGCAGGTGAACATCTGCTGGATGTGGAAAGTCTTCTTGGGGCCTGGGATTGGGGTGAGGGGGGAGGTGTAGCAGTTCCCATTGTGGCCTCCTCTACATCGGGGAAACCAAGCAGAGGCTTGGGGACGGCTTTGCAGAACACCTACGCTTGGTTCGTACTAAACATCTGCACCTCCCAGTCACGAACCATTTCAACTCCCCCTCCCATTCCTCAGATGACATGTCCATCCTGGGCCTCCTGCAGTGCCACAACGATGCCACCCGAAGGTTGCAGGAACAGCAATTTATATTCCACTTGGGAACCCTGTAGCCCAATGGTATCAATCTGGACTTCACAAGCTTCAAAATCTCCCCTTCCCCTACCGCATCCCAAAACCAGCCCAGCTCGTCCCCGCCTCCCTAACCTGTCCTTCCTCCCACCTATCCCCTCCTCCCACCTCAAGCCCCACCCCCATCTCCTACCTACTAACCTCGTCCCGCCCCCTTGACCTGTCCGTCCTCCCTGGACTGACCTATCTCCTCACTAACTCCCCACCTACATTCATGTTTACTGGCTCCATCCCCGCCTCTTTGACCTGTCTGTCTCCTCTCCACCTATCTTCTCCAGTATCCATCTTCTATCCGCCTCCCCCTCTCTCCCTATTTATTTCAGAACCCCCTTCCCCTCCCCCATTTCTGAAGAAGGGTCTAGGCCCGAAACGTCAGCCTTCCTGCTCCTCTGATGCTGCTTGGCCTGCTCTGTTCATCCAGCTCTACACCTTGTTATCTTATATATGAGAAGGATCTGTTTTCATGGTGTACATCTCTATGACTCTACATTGCACAAGGCTTCTACATACAGTTATAATGTCCCTCCTCTGGACCATAAATCCTGTATTCAAGGCCCACCTGCTCCAGAAGTGTGTAATAACATCTCTGAACAGGTTGATTAGAAACTATCTAGAACCATCTCCCAGCAGTTCTGGTTGTCATTTGTCATGTGATCTTAATCACTGGTGAAGTAGACTATTCTACTACATGTTTTACGTTAACCCTTTGCACCTCATTTCCCCCCCCACTTCTCAAAATCTTTTAATCCATTCAGCACACTATTTACACAATCCTACACTGTACTGACATCTGAAGTCAAACCTCTGCAATATTTTGACTCCAACATGCCCACAACAGGAATCTCCCAGGTCTCAGGACTCAATAAAACTTGGAAATGGAAAAGAAGCGGCACGGTGGCTCAGTGGTGAGCACTACTGCCTCACAGCGCCAGGGACCCGGGTTCAATTCCACCCTTGGGTGACTGTCTGTGTGGAGTTTGCACATTCTCCCCGTGTCTGTGTGGGTTTCCTCCAGGTGCTCCGGTTTCCTCCCACAGTCCAATGATGTGCAGGTTAGGTGGATTGGCTATGCTAAATTGCCCGTAGTGTTCAAGGGATGCCTAGATTAGGAGGGGTTAAAGGGGGATGGGTCTGGGTGGGTTGCTCTGAGGGTCGGTGTGGACTTGTTGGGCCGAAGGGCCTGTTTTCACACTGTAGGGATTCTATGAAGCTGGCAGAAAGGCAGAATATCAAAGTGGGGATTGAGTAATATCTGGCTGGGTTTCTGTGTATTGGGGGATAAGGAGGGGTTTGACTCCTGAAGACAATGAGTTTGTTTCTTTAATGTGGAGTCACTTTCTGGTGAATAGACCATTAACCCAGAGAGAACATGGCTCACAAAGAACAGAGACTACTGGAAGAACTGATTGAATTCCTGTTTAGTAAAAACAGAAACACAAGCCACAAGTAGTGAACATGATTTTTCACCACACTATCTGGAATGCTTTCGTATGAGAAACACAGCTCCATTCACCCATGCGTCAGACAGATTAAAATCAGATTTAATGAAACCTAGGGAAATATAATTAGAGGTAATTGGAATGAGTGCCCAGGGAGAAGATTAGGTACTTTTTGTGATAGAAGGAGACAGCTGTCTGGTAAACGAGGATCAATTATAAATCAAACGCACAGAATCAGAACCAGATGAACTCTGGGCTCCTGAGAATACTGCTCCCCATGATGTGATAGAGTCCTACTAATTGTCATTGAGCTCCCCGCGTACATGGAGCATGTTCACTGTAATTTATCCTTTACTGAAGCTTTTATGAAGATTATATTTAGTAAACTCACAGTGAATAGAACCTTTTTTTTCTGGGGAAATGGCCACCTGTGAGCTTAGGCCGTGCGCCTAGACCTATGCTTCATCTCTTACACCCTGCATCGTATCCAATGCACAGCCTGAATGAGGAGCTTAGGTCCATCTGCGTTGCCATGGAAACAGCTTTTATCAGCAAGCTTTGAATCAGTGAGTTTGTTGGTTCCATTTCCACATCAGTTGGCTTTGGGGCTCCTGATTGGTGGGCAAATTCCAATCTATTATTGGGGGCAGAGATTGGGTCAGTTTTGAACCCAGTTACAGCTGGTCGGGGTATTTTATTTCATGAAGAAGGGTCTAATGCCAGGCACAGAGTTCCAGATGACAGGGCATAAGCCTTGATATTAGAAATGAGAAACCTGATGGATGCTCCAATATTAATCCTGGAAAGCTGGCAGGGACAATATGGCAGTAAATGACATACTTCCTCATTCTGATTCCCCCTCTGCCCAATATCCATCCATGCCCATATTGATTGTCCCAAATTTCACATCCACACCCACTCTGTTCTCCATTCACGCACTTTGACTCCTGTGCTCCTATTCCTTGCCTTGAACACCCTCCAACCCACCACCGTTTTCCTATTTCTCCCCCTGATCATCCTTCCACCCGGTCACAGCCTTCATCCCACTTTGTCTCAACCCCTGGCCCCCCATCTAACACTCCATCCTATCTCCTACTTAATTTATTTCCTCCTCAGCACCTCTCCCTACTTCGTGAACCCTCGACACATCTGTTTGTACTGGGGTTGGTGAAGGGGTGGTTGGTTCCAGAGTGGGGGAAGGTTGGCGCCAGGTCAGATCTGGAGTGGGTGAATGGGTGGTCAGGTCTTGGGTGCACAGGGGTGGTCAGATCCAAAGTGGGGCTAGGGGAGTCTACTTTTGCAGCAGGGTAAGGGGTGTTGGGATAGAGTGGATGAAGGGAGAGTCCAGAGTGGGTAAAGAGGTGATGGCTCATTTGAGTGGGCGCGGGGGGGGGGGAGCGTTGGGATGTGTGGTGTGGTGACAGGGGTTACCCTGGAGTGGAGTGGCTACTTCCTGGGATATGTCAAGTCAGGTGTGGGGGTGCAGGCAATTTAAGGGAAGGGTTCTCAGAAACAGTGACACCGGACTCAAAACACTAACTCAGTTTCTCTCTCTACAGATTCTAAGTTTGTCCAGCATTCACTGTGTTTGTTACAGATTTACAGCATCTGCTGTGTTTGCCTTTATGCGAGCTGTAGTTAGGGTGCTTTGGTTAAGCATGGGGTCAGTTTAATAGCTACTCAAGAGTTAGACATAGTTTCATTGGAATTTTTTGAAGTCTCTAATTTAAATTGAAACTTTTGGAGGGCTCCAGGAGTAGTTACCAATGTGTTTTATACTTTTAAATAAACCCATGGGGCTAATCCATTTCTGACAAGTGATTGATTAGTACCGTAGTCTTTAATCTGACACTCTCCTCCACCCCTTGCAGTACATTCATGCTTCTTCATTCTACTGCACTTCCTCACTTGAATAACACTAGCTAATTTCTTTCCCTTAATTTGCTTTCTATCCCAAACACATTGCAACCTTGATAGGTTTGTACCAGCCCCCAAAATGTGTCAAGGTGTTACGTAAAAAGCCCGCCAGTGATTGGTCACCTTCATTCGTGCTGCTTCGGTTCTTGACTTGTAACAAAACTCCACTAGCGCCACGAGCATTGCCAATCCAAGTCCACCAATCAGGATGTAGAAAACTCCTGCTACGTTGCTCAGACTCAGCGCACTCGTCTTGTCCTGAATGAAGGAAAGGACAAATCTACTCAGGACAAATTCATTACAGACTTGGAAGAGGATCATAAATTGAGTCATGTGTTGAACTTGGCTTTGAGTCACAATGTGAACCAGGTGACAGTGAGCCTGCTGTAGGGGGGGTGGTTGGTGCAGGAAATGGCAATAAAACTGGAAAGAGAAGTCAAACAGGTTGACCTGTTTTATATGATGGCAGAAAGCCAAGCTCAAACCAACTCTGCACAGTTAATCAATGAGACAAATTCAGCACACTCAAATATCATTCACTAACTTGCTTTCTGAAGGCCACTGGTCTCACTAATACTACTATGAGCATATTCTGAAATTCTGGGGAAATTTGACACAAATATTCCCACCAAGTATCATTTTGTACTGAGGATGTAGACTGGAGGGGGATGCATATGGGGAACTGCTGGGGTCTGAGTGTGGGAGAACCACAGCGCTTTAAATGTGAAGGTTTTTAGGAGTTGGATATGGTAGACTTGGAACGGTGAGAGTGGGGGCATTGAGTGCAGGGGCTGCAAAGGCCACTACACAGTTTGTAAAATAAATGATCGATCAATTCATAGCATAGAAAAAAAACAATCAATGAATGCAAACAAACTGTGCTTCTGTCGCTGAAAGTGAAGACAAGATTGCTGAAATTGCACAAAGCATCGACTAACATCAACTTGATGGGTAAAATATTTTAGACAGTAAAATAGCTCAGTCGCTCAGACACTCACATAATCTGTGTTTCTGAACTGATGATTGTGTTAAAAGTACAAATGCTTGTTTCATTTAATTATTAACAACAATTAATTTGCATGTTTTTGATCTGTTATCTGGACACCTGTAGAAGGTGCCTGGGGTGCAGAGGTCCAAGTGAGCTTTAAAGATCAGCCTGAACGGGCCACTTAACCAAGGGACACACATTAAATCCTAACCAGAGACTTTATGAACACTATACCTCCTACCAAATTAATTACAATTTTAAAAAAAGTTGTGATCAAATCGGGTATCTCACACTGACAATGTGTTGGCTCTTCAATATGTCTGTGGAGATTCAGGATTATGGGTGGCTCTGAGCCCTAGGATTTGTGAAAACTCAACAGTGGAACAAAAGGTGAACAACCACCCACCATGCAGTACCGCTGAGGGTCCAAGCTTAGCAGGTAGACACATATTGTCCAGTTTATGCCTTTCCCCTTTCTTAAAGTTTTGGACCCTCTGGGAGCACAATTCTTCCTAATTGGCCTCTGATTACCTTTTGCACTTGGGGTTGGTGGACCTTTAAATCAAGCAGTGAGAGAAAAGACGAGGTGCAACCAGGCGGGTATCATTTTTACAGACTTCTTGGAAGTGAACAGCCCTTTGAATCTTGTGACAGTTCACGCTAACTCTACAATTCTAGCTTAGACAGTGAGAGATGACAGGGCAACATCCTCTTTGAGGTGGTGAGAATGACACACTGGTGACCAACCACAGGTATATCAGAGGTATTTAGACTGTGTCAGAGGATCGAGGCTCTGGAGTCGACTGCTTCTGAGCTGAAGGTGTATTAGCTGCGTTCTGAAGGCTGAGAAGGGATTTCCAGATCAGAATCACCAGAATGTTGCCACCTGAAACAGGCTATCTCTGATGGCTAGGACAGTGGGACAATGTGGAGAGAAAAAGGCAGAGAGAGGAAGGAAGAGAGAGATAAGTGATCAACAATCCACTCAGAGAGCACAGAGAGAGATAGTACTGAAGACTTTAATGGAAGACTAAACCTTCTTATGAAAGATGTTGCCAGGGTTGGACAGTTTGAACTGTAGGGAATGGCTGACTAGGCTGCGGCTGTTTTCCCTGAAGTGTCAGAGGCTGAGGGGTGGCCTTATAGAAGTTGATAAAATCATGAGGGACATGGATAGGGTGAGCAGTCAAGAATTTTTCCCCAGGCTAGAGGAGTCCAAAACTAGAGGGCATAGGTTTAAGGTGAGAGGGGAAAGATTCAAAAGGGACTTAAGGGGAAACTTTTCTGCGCAGAGGGTGGTGTATGTATGGAATGAGATGCCAAAGGAGATGGTGGTGGCTGGTAGAGTTATAACATTTAAAAGGCATATGGGCAGGTATATGAATAGGAAGGGTTTACAGGGATATGGGCCAAATGCTGGCAAATGGGACAAGACTAATTTAGAACCTCTGGTCAGCATGGACATGTTGGACCGAAGGGTCTGTTTCTGTGCTGTATACCTCTATGATTCCATGACTCTAGCTTAACCTGGTGTTAAAGTCTGAAATGGCCAGATATGCAGATTATCTGTAACTAACTGCAAAGCTGTTTGGTAGCATGGGTTTTGACACTGACAATAAAGATAAAAAGGTCACATTTAGATGCAGACATTCCAAACCACAGAGACTGCAAGAAACGGGTGCATAGATCATGTCAGATAGTAGCACTGAGCTTAGCTAAATAACTTTGAATATTAGAATGAGACAAGCCAAGAATGAGCAAGTGAGCAGGAAGAAAAGTGAGAGATTGAGGAGCAATGGGAGACTGAGCAGCTTCACTGTAAGGGACAAACATTGAATAATGTGTGATTCACAATATAATCAGATCCCTTCCAGGAGCTCAAACAGTGACAGTGCCACTGTAAATAGGAAAATGTGTTACTCAACAGAACAATCAGGAGAGATTGCAACGGTTGGGGCTCTTTTCTCTAGTCTTTCAGATTGTGAAAAAGTTTGATATGGTCATTGTAGTGCAGATGTTTCCATTTTTGGGGGAGACCAAAACTGGGGATTATAAACATCAGAAGTCAGTAATAAATCCAAAAGAGAGTTCACTAGAAACATCTTTATGCAGGGCAGTGAGAATGTGGAACTTGCTGCCACTTGGAGCTGCTGAGCTGAATAGTCTTTAAGGGAAAGGCAGATTTAGTACCTGAGTGAAAAAGGAAAAGAAAGATGTGTAATGAAACCAGAGAGAGCTGGAAACACTCAGCAGGGCAAGGCAGGGAGAGAGACAGTGTTAAAGATTCTGAGTTCTGGAAAGGGTCATTATCTCTGCTTCTGGGTGAAATGATGAGCTTTTCCAAGATTCCCAGCCTCTGCAGCATTTCGATTTTGTAGGCGTACATGTTGACTGCGTTAGTTGAAGCAGAGGAGGCTTGTGTGTGGAGTATAAAGACCAGCATTAGGCTTCTGGCAGAAAGGCCTGTATGTGTGCAATTATGTGTTGGACCCTATAGGGGGATGGTATTCATTGTCTCTCAGTGTTGGGTAGTGGCTGTGTGAATTTTTCTTCTCTGAGTTTGTAAAGGTATTCTCCCAGTTCGCTCCTACACTGACTGGTTCAGACCCATGTGAGTGTGGGTTCTGTGCTTTATTAGCAGGTTCCCCTCCAGTTAGCATGCGTTACATGCATTTACGTACGGCGACTAACCTTACTGCTGGAGTCCTTGCTTCCACATTCACCTTTATCGTACCACCATTTGTTTTTCAGCTTGTCTAAGATGCCTTGCTCACTGAGTTTCAATACTGCAAGGTTTACTCGATTTCTTCACGTGAAACATAACATAAATAACATTATCAATGTTATTTTATGTTATCCATGACAAAATACATTACTGATTCACAATTCCAAGTGATAGGTGCTCAGTGCTCCATCTGGCTGGGTGACCGAGCTCCTCCCACTTTACACACTCTGCCCAGCGAGATGTGCAAACACCTATCACTTTGCGTAACCAGCAGCAACCAGCCCTAGGTGAAGCTTGGGAGATAAAGTCAGATGTGGATCCTCAGCTGGGCGGCTAGAGGGATATATCAGGCCACACGAATGCAACAGACATTGAAAAACAACACTGGGAACTGACAGGGTCTAAGGTAAAAGCACTTACACTCCACTTGGCTGGGAAAGGGTTGGAAGTTGGCAATTTGCTCTTTCACACAATGCAGATTGAGACAGAATGAAGGGTTTAGAGTTTGTGGAGAAAACAAAACTCAAGAGCAGTTGGACAATTGAGACATCAGTTACTACAAGAGCTGATAGTTGAGTGCTCCTGTTCCCCTCTGCCAAGGTCAAGTCCTCTCTTGATGTTTTCACAGTTATATACAAGCATATAAACAAGGAACAAGAGGAGGCCACTCGGCCCTTCGAGTCTGCTCTGCCATTCAACAGGGTCATGACTGATCTGACTTTAACCTCAACTCTACATTCCTGCATATCCCTGATGATCTCTCATCTCCTTGGTGTTCAAGAATCTATCTACCTCTCCCTTAAAAATATTTAAATATTCTGTACCCATTGCCTTTTGAGAAACAGAATTCCAAAGATTCACAACCCCTTAAATAGACGACCCTTATTTTTAAACAATGACCCCTAAATCTAGAGTCTCCCACAAGAGGAAAATCCTATCAGCATCCACTTGGTCAAGTCCCCTCAGGATCTTATCTGTTTCAAATAAATCGCCTCTGACTCTTCTAAACTCCATATGACATAGGCCTAGCCCCATTAAACCTGTCCTCATAAGGCAATCTGTTCATTCCAGCTATTAGTCTAGTAAACCTTCTCTGAGCTGCTTCCACTGCATTAACGTCCTTCCATTAGTATGGTGACCAGTACTATATCCAGTACTCTCACCAATGCCCTGTATAACTGAAGCATAACATCTCTATTCTTGCACTCAATTCCCCTCACAATAAATGTAGTTGGGTCGAAGCTGTGTCACATGTAAATCACAAGGCTGTTTTAAAACTGTAATCCTGTGCCAACAAGTAATTCTGACAATGTGCCCCTGAGTTTAGCTCTTGGATGGCTTTGGAGATGAGGTTATCAATCAGAAACAAGGTTTTCAATGAGAAATTTGCATGTTGTTCCCCAAAAAGGAGGGTTGAGAGTGTTTAACTGCTGGGCTACAGTTAGTTACCTCCTACTGACTGGACTCATCATCAATTCTGGACAGGAAGCAAGGGAACAGCTTGGAGACTTTCCCTGAATCTGGGGAGGGATGCCACGTCCTTTTCATTCTCCTGGTCAGGTTTCTGTCATATGGATTAGAAGCAGGATGTAGGCCAGTCAGCCCCTTCAGCCTACTCTGCCATTTAATGGGATCATGTCTGATAATGATTGCAGCCTCAGATCCACTTTCATGCCTGCCTCAAAACCTTTACACTTCCTTGTTAGTCAGAATCTATCTGCCTCTGCCTTAAACTGTTCACTGATCCCACTTCCACTGCTCTCTAGCAAAGATAATTCCACAGACCAAGCTGCTCTGAGAGAGAATACAAAGTATTCAGTTCATATCTGTCTTAAAGGAGATCCTTTTTTTTTTCAAAACTGCATCTCCTAGTTCTAGCCTCTTCCATAAAGGGAAACACCCTTTCAGCATTCACACTATCAAATCTCCTCAGGATCTCAAATGTTTCATCTCTTATTCTTCTACATACACCCAACTTTTGACCTTTCCTCATAAACTAATATCTTCATCCCAGGATTCAATCACATGAGCCTTCTCTGAACTGCTTCTAATGAAGTTGTCCTTTCTTAAGTAGGGACCAAAACAATAGACAAAACTCCAGATATGGTCTCTCCAAGGTCCTGGACAACTGCTGTAAAATTCCCTGTCTTTTATTTTCTATCCCCTTTGCAATAATTGACAACATTCCATTTGCCTTCCTAATTACTTGCTTTAACTGCATACTGATGTTTTGTGATTCATAGAACGAGGATACCCAGACCTCTCTACGCCACAGACTTCTCTACTCTCTCTCTATTCAAACAGTATGCAGCTTTATGATTCTGTTTGACTATCTGCTAAGATTTTGCCCAGTCACCTTATATAAGTCCATTGCAGTGTCCCTTTGTCCTTACTTACTTTTGGAACAATCATTTTGTAATCAGCAAATTTTACAACATAGATCCCTATAGCACTCCACTTGTTGCAACCTGCCAACCCAAAAATGGCCCATTTATGCCTGGTCTCTAGTTTTCTCTTAGCTAACCAATCCTCTGTTCGGGCATCTCGTAGCCAAGTCCCAATCAGGTCTTTGTCAGTTCCCAGTGAGCCAGTCCTGGTCAGGTACTGTTCAGTCAGTTCCCAGTCATATCTGAAACAAACCCAGAGAATGCTGGAGAACCTTACTAGGTTTGTTAGCATCTGTGGAAAGAGAAACAGAATTCATATTTCGAGTTCAATATGACTCTTCTTTGGAGCAAACCTGTTCTGGTCCCCAGGTGGATAGGTAACATTTTTAGCTGTCCCCATCTCCTCCTTATTTTCCATCAGCCAATCTGGCTGTAGGGCAAATAGAATTTCCTGGTGAATCTGTTTATTCTACATCACGACAAATCCAGGCAGTACAGGCTTGATCTTTACAGCATTGCTGGGTGGAAGAATAGGGATTAGGATAAACCAGAAAACTCCAGTTATCAAATCTGAACATGTACAAGTTCTGAGGACCCCATCTCTGATTGGGACTCTACCACCAACAGCCCAACTCTGACTGGGACTCTAACTTTCCTTCATCCATGACTGGAGCATAACCTCTGTGGGGCGTGGATGGGTGAATAGACAAGACTTTTTTTCCCAGGCTAGGGGAGTCCAAAACTAGAAGGCATAGGTTTAAGGTGAGAGGAGCAAGATTTAAAAGGGACTGAAGTGACAAATTTTCACGCAGAGGGGGTGCATGTGTGGAATGAACTGCCAGAGGAAGTGGCGGAGGCTGGTACAATTACAACATTTAAAAAGCATCTGGATGGGTATTTGAATAGGAAGGGTTTAGAGGGATATGGGCCAAATGCTGGCAAATCTGACTAGATTTATTCAGGATATCTGGTCGGCATGGACGTATTGAACTGAAGGGTCTGTTTCCATGCTGTACATCTCTATGACTATGACTCTATGACTTTCCCTCATCCCTGATTAGGACTGAACCCAATCCCTGGCTGCTACTGTACCACCAACAGCCCAATTCCGATTGGGACTGTATCCCTCCCTTATCCATGACTGGGCCAGTGCCCCTCCCCTGTTCCTGACACAGACTGTACTCTGTTCCCGTACCCCAGTGGCTGACAGGGACTTTCTCCTCTCTCCTGTTGCTGAGTGGGACTGCAACCTCTCTCCCATCTATGACTGCAACTATAACACCTCCATCATTTTTGAGTGCCACAATAACCCTCTCCCGGCCCTTGAGTAGGACCGCACCTCTCTCCCTGATCTCTGGTACAGGCTGTATCTCTCCAGGCCTCATACCGTCCTCCCCAAAAACCTGAAGCAATATGGACACCTGCAAACCAAGATCCTGAAGCGGTACTAGACGCCCAGTCACCATTGAAATGGAATCACACGAAGGAACATCGAGACAGACATGTAGGATGAGTGTTGAGAAGGTCACTGCTGTTGTGTAGATGGTCGCACCTCTGTAGATGTTTTAATAACAAGCGTGAGACGACAATGACAGGGGTCAATTTCCTTCCCACTGCTGAAGCCCAGGTGTCTGGTTGAGTTTGCTGGTTACGCTGTCATGTTCATTCTTTACCCACTAGTGTTCCACACTGAATCTGACCTTGGAGTCACTGCCTCCACTGCCGCACTCCCCCTTGTCGTACCACCATTTGTTTTTCAATTTGTCCAAGAGTCCCTGCTCGTTCAGTTTAAGAACTGCCAGGTTTACGGGATTTCTTGAAACGATAAAACATACTCATCAGTTTGTGAGCAAATAAAAAAGACCAGCAGTCAGAATCGGAGTCGTTCATTTACACAGAGCTAAAGTGGGTTAACAGGTCAAACCATTCACAGGGAGACAAGGAGGAGTGACAAAACTTCTCACTGTACCTAGGTATGTGACAATAATAAATCAAATCAAATGAAACCCAGGTAATTGAGGTGAAGTCGAGTGTGCACCCCAGGGAGACACAAAGCCAACATCTGAAGCAGGAAAGATGCTTCTAACAATGATAAGCCAATGAAATCCACATATCCCAGACCGTGCTCCTCCAAAAACCTTTCAGCTTCTCATTTACTGCCTTCTGCTGCAGTGAACCCAGTGACCCCCCTTTTAATACGCAATTTTTATCTTCAGATGCTCAGAGCATTTCCACTTCACAGTTCCAGTCTCTCCGGGCTCATGACTTTGCAGCCAACTGCGCTGGTGTGACCTTTACATGGCACCCTGCACTTGGCAGCGAGCCTGCCACCTGTCCAGTGAACTGCTGGGACATGCCATGGAGCAAGTGAATATAGCTGCAATAAGCAACAACATCCACCTCCATTCCCACTCCAGCCTGACATATCTATGGACTTTGTCCTTCCTGTCAAGGTGGAGAAAATCCACAAATGTCAGGAGGAGTAGGATGGAAATTGGGATACTGGAGGATTGGGGGAGTAGGCAGTGGCTATTGGGAGACTTAATGCGTTGACAATGTCCTCTTGACAACTTCTACACCCTGCACGGAGAGTTTGGTAAAATGCCAGAACCTTCAAAAAGGTAATAGCCTCAGGTGTTGAAAATACTTCAGTAAAAGAAAAACAATGCAGTTTTAATCCCACCTTTCATTACCGCAGGACATCCAAAAATATGTTTTAGTCAACAAAGTATATTTTTAAAAATTGTGGTCACAATACAATGCAGGAAATATTTAGACCACTTGAGCACAGCAAGCTCCCAAAAACAGCAATGTGGTATTGGCTGAATCATCTGTTTTCAATGGTGTTTGTCAAGGAAAGAACATTGGCCAGGACGCAGATGATAACTCCTCTGCTCTGTTTTGAAATAGTGCCATGACATCTGGCAGACAGGGCAACGGTTAAGCATTTGTCTTAAAAAAAATGGCATCTGTGATAGCAAAGCACCCCTTCAGTATTTTATTTATGGTCATCACTTGCATGGCCAGGAAGTACAACCCCTTCCTAATTGTCATTGAGCATGCAAATACTGGCTTTCATGTATGTGTTCAAGTGGGACTTGAACCCACAACCTTCCAGAGTAAAGGTGAGAGTGCTAGCCATCAAGCCATGGCTCTGGAAAGTGTTCAGCTGGTTAATGAGATCTCTCCACAGGCAGCTCACATTTCAGCATCCACTCGATTGGCAACATATCCCAGCTGCCTTTAAATCCCAGCTAGACGTCCCTATCCTGTTCACAACCTTAAGCAAAATAAGAAGCTGCCAAACGAAAGACTGAACTAAGGAAGAACCCAGCTCCAGAAGGCTGCACATTGAAAGATAAACCAGTTGGAATTAGCAATTTGAATTGTTGTTGGGGGGGTGGTTGGGGAGAGGATGTCACTGGATGTGGAGTGGAAGGATTGGAATGACACTGGCTAGACAGGTTTGTGGCTCAAACAGAGACGAGGTGTGGGAATGTCGAATTGGAATGGAGACAGAGCAACAGGGCAGCTCCCCTGGAGTCAGGGCAAGTCTTTGAACAGAATTCATTCTCCCAAATTCTCTAATCTGGGAGTACAACTGCTGATGACGTGAGGTGAGCAGGTAAGATTCACTGAGAGACCCCACCAGTTCTGAGGTAAAGGGTACGTCTTTAGTTGTATTGAGCAGCAAAAATGAAGAGGCAAAATAACAGATATTTTTAATAACAGATATGATAGATGCATTTAAGGGACTTTTAGGCAAGCATATGAATATGCAAGAAATGGAGCAAGGGCAAGCAGAAGGGATCAGTTTATCGTGGCATCATGGTCGGCTCATCAGCATGGGCCAAGGGCTTGTTCCTGTGCTGTACTGTTTAATGTTCCAATGACAGAAAATGCCGGTAACAGTCAGGGGGCCAAGCAGCTTCTGCGGTGAAAAAGGTTTTGGCTCAATGTGCCTGACCCTCTGAGCATTTCTTTTATTTCAGTTTTCCACTAACACAGTATTTTGTTAACATTTTAAGAAAATATATCTTCATTTGATGTGGGTTCCACGGTTAGGCCAGTATTTATTGTCTATCCCTAATTGCCCCTTGATCTGTGTAGCTTGTTAGGGCCATTTAGAGAACTGGAGGTCTGCAGTCATGAGTAGATCAGATACAGGTAAGAAGGGCAGATTTACTTGCCTAAAGGACATTGGTGAACCAGATGGGTTTTTATGATAATTGACAACGATTTCATGGTCATCATTAGATTTTTAATTGCATGCTTTTATTGAATTCAAATGTCCCCACCTGTCATAGAAGGATTCAAACTCATATTTCTAGGATATTAGCTTGGGTCTGTGGATTATTAACTCAGTAAAATTACCACTACACCAATGCAAATGCTTGTCAGTTTGGAGGTCTCTTATGGTTCTGGTCTGTAGCTTGCCCTAAGATGTAATACAGCAGTAGAACCTCTTTGGCTGGTGAGGTGAAATTATTAAGCAACTTTCTTCAAACACAATATCTGTAACCTGTCCCATATGGGCTGAAGATAGCATGGGAGAGGGAAGGGTGTTTGGTTCAATGGAATAAAAGATGGGGGGCAAGATAAAAGGGCTGTATAGGAATCACAAAGAATAGGCAGAGTGGGCTGAATGGTCCCTGCCAGTGCTGTACGATTCTTCAACAGGCTGACCATCAATACAGGTATGCAACATTCTGCTAGAGTCCAGAGTTTGCACAGTAATGGTTAAAGTGAGCTCGGATGATAAGGGAGTGCTGAAGAGCGATCAAAGATGATGCATTTTGTAAAAGGGCGGCGATCCTCCTAAAACATCAATGGAATATTCCAGTAGTTTGTCAAGGAACAATATGCTTCTCAGTCTTGTTATTTGTTCAAGGAGATGTGTTTCAGGAAATAATATCAACTCACCATGCTGTCAGCACGAGAGCTCAAGTTCGGGGTAGACCTGACAGAGCAGAGCAAAGCAAAGTAGGGCTGGCGGATAGGGCAGGGCAGGGCAAGGCTGAGAGGATAGTGCAGGGCACGGCAGACAGGGCAGGGTTGGTGGGATTGGGCAGGGCAGGGCAGACAGGACAGGGCTGGTGGGATTGAGCAGGGCAGATTAAGGTAGAGCTGGGCACAACTGGACAGACATGATAGGGTTGAAAGGATAGGGCAAAATTCAACTGGACAGGGAAAGTAGGGCAGGTGATAGCTGGACATTCATGTCTATCTTCACATATAGAGTATTGAGGCAGATCTCAAAAATTAATTGCATTATTTTCCAAAGTTTCTAAACAAATTGACTCTTTTCCAAACTAGGAAATGGTCTGGCTATGAGGAATTAATCAGAAAGAAACTTAAGAGATTAGGTATGAAAATCAACAAAAACTTTCAGAAAGAATTAATCTAATCTCATGGATAATCATACAGATTTCAGCTCATAAATTCTCATTAACAAATCCCTCTACAGAATATCACAGAAGTTAGTTAGCTGCATTATCCTCTTACTCCATAGCTGGGGAAGTTAAAAATAGTGTGAAATTAATCTACTGTATTATAATGTTATCAGTTACTTTTCTAGTTAATACTGTTAATCTATCAGGGCGTTCGTGCCCAGTGTTATACTATCAGTATTTGTTCCCAGGTTAAACTATCAGGTATTAATTCCTAGTGTTACTCTATTTGTGAGTTTATTCCCGTTGTTAAAGTATTAGTGAGTCTTAGTTCCCAGAGTTAAGCTATCAGGCTGTTAATTCCACCAACAGTTTCACTACCAGTGTGTTTTTTACCTAGTGTTGCACAAATCCACCCACCTTAAAGGTGATCCTTTTGGTGTAGCCACACCATATCCCTTGGAGTCGAGGTTACCTCCAACCTTCATGGTATCACACGGCTTCCTCTGCTCAATGTACTCATTCATGGTTGACTCCAAGAGATAGGCATACTTCCCTTTGGACTTTCTCACACGGATTACACCTTCCTCTGTGGTTTTGACAAAGACCGAAGGTTCAGCAGACTTCATATAAGCCCACATCTTTTCGAAGACGGCAATCTTTGATCTCTGTGTAAGATGAAGAGTACACAGAATGAGTTTCCATCAGCACCAAATGCAGTTCTTCTTTCCTGGAACACGGGCTGTCTGTTCCTGCTGTGGCCTTTCTCTCACTCAGAGGGTAGTCAGTCTGTGGAATCTTAACTGGAGATGACTATAGAGGCTATATCTTTCAGTATAATTAAGGCTGAGATATAGACAGATGTTTAATCAATAAGGGAATCAAGGGTTGTGAGACAAGTGGAGTCAAAGATTATCAGATCAACCACAATCTCATTGAAAAGTAGAGAAGACCCGATGGGACAAATAGCCTACTTCTGCTTCTATGTCTTATCAATGTTCAATCACTCAACAGAACCGATACACCGCCTTCATTGGTAATTGACATTGGCAGCTCCCTGTCTAGCCACCTCAACCTTCTCCAGGGTGAATTTAAAAAATTGCGTTTAAGGGATATTGTATTTTCCTCAATCTCAGGAGATATTTGATGCCCCAATCTCTGGAAACTTCCTAAAACACCAGCAATGTGTCAGTCACAAGAGACCTCCCACATCTGTGTGGCATCTCACATTTGGACCGTCATCAGTGCCTATGTGAGCCAGAAGATGGACAATGATCTCCAAGTATTAACACAATACTGTACTCCCATACCCCTCAATCGAATGTCTATCTCCACAACTTCCAGCTTCCCATGAGAGACTTTTGAAATAATACTGGTGAGGTGGCAATCTTGAGATCCTTTGCTCTTCTAAACAACAGCATTTAATAAAAAAAGTTCATGGGATATGGGCGTCACTGGCTAGGCCAAAATTTACTGCCCATCCTAAATTGCCTGGAAGGCAGTTAAGTGTCAGTCACATTGCTGTTGGTTTGGAGTCACATAGAGTCCAAGTCACATTAGGACAGCAATTTCCTTTCTTAAAGGACATTGGCAAAACTGGATGGGTTTTTACAACAATCCAGTCTAGTTACATGGCTACCATTAATCTAGCTCTCCATTCCTGATTTTATTGAATTTTTTTTTAAATTTTGCTAGCTGCCGTGGTGGGACTGAAATCCACGTCCTCAGAACCTTGGCCTCGACATGAGGCGAGTGACATTACCACTTCGCCACCTCCTACCCATCTAACCCTGGGGCGAGGGCAACTGTGTCATGTCAACAAGGGGCTCAATATCAGTGTGGCCTTCAGCCTCCCCCAGCATGCTTTCTGTGGGATCTTTCTGTATACAAGGTGGTTGCTGAAATTTCGACGTTACAGCATGAGACTGCATTTCACTGGCTACAAAATACTTTGGGAAGGTCTGTGGTATTGAACGGTGTGATAGAAATACAGGTTTTTTCATAAAATATTTCCAATTGCAGTTGTAGTGAAGAATTTCACCTATAGCTATAGAGTTGGGGAGAAAGGCCTTGTACTTACCCTGAAAAACTCTTTTGTTGATCCAGCATCAAGCGTTCCATAGGCGATCTCTGTCTGCTTTGCAAGGTCCTCTGCGCTCTCAATGGGAGACACCATTCGTTCGACTGTCAGGAAGGCAGCTAAGTTGGCAGTGTAGGATGAGATGATGATCAAGGTGAAGAACCACCAAACTCCACCAACAATTCTGCCCGACAGGGATCTAAACATGGTCAAGAACATGGGGGTTGGGGGAGGAAATGACATGAAATGAAATGCATTAAAAAAAACCCAGCACATTACCAGTCTTGAGTCAATGTGTGTGGTTTAGTAGCGCTCACAACCACAAAAACTTAACAGCTTCTGTCAAACCAGATCCCGCTCCTGACACCTTTCTGACCCCAGGCAGGGGTTGAAGGTAAGATCACTGAGATTTCAGGCATTGTATGTTGATCATCAGCACAAATAATACCGTGACATCCATCAATTCATTTCTTTAAATACGAGACTGCCAGTCAGAAACTAAGCTTATGAAGAAATGCAGTTCACCACCACCTTCTCAAAAACACGTTGGGATGGGCAACAAATGCAGGTTTTGCCAGAAATGCTCAGATCCCAGGAGGGAGTTTAAAAATAAAAATCAGGTCTGTCAGTCCTGTGGTTTGATGGGGGGTTTCCAGGCCTCCTCTATTTTTTCCATAAGATACAGGAGCTGAAACCGGCCATTCAGCCCATTGAGTTTGTTCTTCCATTCAAGGAGATCATGGTTGATCTCATAATCCTCAAGTCCTCTATCCTGCTTTTGCCTCATAACCCGTGATTCCCTTACAGGTTAAAAATCTATTACAGCCTTGAATATACTGAGTGATCCAGCCTCGACAACACTCTGTGGTAAAGAATTCCACAGATTTGCTACACTCTGAGAAAAGAAATTCCTCGTCACTGTCTTAAATGTGTGACCCCTTATTGAGATAAGCACTCTGGTCTTTGACTCTTCCACAAGGGGAATTATCCTTTTTGCATTTACCCTGTCAAGTCCCCTAAGAATTTTGTATGTTTCAATAAGGTTGCCTCTCATTCTTCTAAATTCCAATGAGTACTGGTCCAATCTACCCAACTTCTCCACATAAGACAATTCCTCCATACACAGTATCAGTTTAGTGAACCTCCTCTAGACTGCCCTCCAATGCCAGTACATCTTTCCTTAGATAAGGGATTCAAAACAGCACACACTGTTGGAGTAATTGGAATCAGTCTAATATACTCCCTTTGCCAGTGGTGTTCTAGAGATATGGGACATGGTCTCCCACTTTCTTCCAATGACCTTGCAGCTGGGCTTTAGCACTGGGCAAGTGATGGATTATGAGTGAATTCAAATTTCATTCCAGATTTGCCAGCTGATCCCTTCCTCTCCTGGCTCAGAGGAACAATGTACCCAAAGTAATCATCCATCTGTATGAAGTATGCCGTGATGCTAGCAATTCCTCACCCAATCTGTACACTCAGTCTTAGCAACAACCCTCTTACACCTGACGCTGTTGGTGCCATGGGTCACAAAACACATCTCAGTCAATCAGCAAGCTCATACAAAGAACTGACCTGCTCCCCAGCTAACAGTGTGATGCATCAATATACACCATAAGATGGGCTCCTGATCAGTCAAGAAACAGATAGCCTTAACAATCCACTGGATCAACTGTTTCTGGTTCAGATTGTTATTCACATTATGTTCAGGTCTTTGGAAACCTTTCCCGTAAGCAGCTCCGGATGCTGAGGATCTGTTGGAGCAGACAGCATATTTTGTGTGGAAAAAAAAAGTTCAAGGAGCACCAAAGTAGCTAAAGAGAGTTGAGGCACAAATCAACCATAATGTGATTGAATGTTCTCTTACCATTCCCACTTAGTATGCTTTTCTTTACATCTCATATGGTCCATGAGCACCACTGGAAATACCAGCATTTGTTGCACATCCCTGCCTGTTCTTGAACTGACTTGCTCTGCAGGCCATTTCGGAGGACATTTAAGAAGCATCAACCACACTGCTGTCATTCTGGCGTCACACGTTGGCCAGACCAGGCAAGGACAGCAGATTCCCATCTTTCAAGGACACTAGGAACCAGATGAGCTGTTATGATAAATGAGAATCGCCAGCTCTAGTCTATTGATTTTTATAATTCCAGGTTGTAAAAGTTGAATTCAAATTCCACCTGCTGCCAAAGTAGTTTCAAATCTAATCCCCAGAACATTAAGCTGGAGGTCTGTGGTAGGAGCCAGTGACATTACCACTACACCAGCATCTCCCCCTGGAATTAACAGCCCTCCCAACTGTGATAAAAGAAGCAGTACTTTCACAGAGCCAAAACATGAATTTCTGTGCTCAACATGAAGCCTGGAGCTGGACTTCACTGTACTCTGAACCGCTGTGTGGGAGCTCGTTACCAGGTTTCTCCATCAATTAAGAAATTTCTTGCAGGTGCTGAATCAGTGTTTTTCAATAGGCTGGGCCCATAGAGACCACACTTGAGTCTGCCACCTGGGGCACTCCTCTCTCTTTGCCCTGGTATTTGCACATCCGTGCCCAGTGATTTACCACATGAAGACCTCTGTTCTAAAGGTAAATGCAGTGCCAGTCTGAGCTGGTGCTTGTGAGAGTGAAACTGAGTGTGTAATCTTCAGGAAGGGTTACAACCCTCTTTCTCCACTGGCTGAGCAGCTTCCATACCTTCAGCACCTGAAATGAAAGGTTGAGACAAGAATGAGGTTTCGTTGTGTCTGGAAAGCAAAGGGAAAGAGAAGTTTATGTGGTGGACTATGCACAGTTCATCTCACAAAGCGAGTGGATGAGATGGAAGTGGAAAGAGAAAATGGGGATGTGCATGTGGGCACAATTACAGCATTTAAAAGACATTTGGATAAGTATATGAATAGGAAAGGTTTGGAGGGATATGGGCCAGGAGCAGGCAGGTGAGACTGGTTGGACTGAAGGGTCTGTTTCCCTGCTCTATGACTCGATGTTAAGAAATTCTTCTTGATTGCTCCTGCAGTCTTGTCTTCATTAGGACTATGAGTCTCCCACTGCCTGGATTGACCAGCATGCTTTCTTTGAGAGGAGAGAGGGAGTGCAGATGTGTAGATGTAAAGGCAAGGCTGATGGAAGCTTCCTTTCACGGGCATTTGTTATTGACTGGTGGTGATGTACTCAGCAATGTGGCTGATTAGCTGAGACACAGTGTACCAGATCTGAGATGTAGGGAGGAAGAGCTGGGCATGAGAAATGCGAAGAGATGGAGATGCACAGAATGGGGCAAGTAATAGGGGAGTGGAAAGACAGTACTGTGTGCATTGAGTCTGGGAATGGTGGTGACACAGCAGAGAGCATGAGAAAATGTTTCTTACCTTGACATCACCACTCAGGTCATTGAGCTTCTTCCAGCATTGCAGCCATGTCAAAATCCAGCATTCACCATCTCAGCAAATTCTTCCTCTTGAAGGTGGAGATGTTGCCTACAGGAGTGTCTGCCCCTTGTGGGTACAGGCCTCTCCTCATTGATGACCTTGACCAGACCATCCAAGGCAACACTGAAGACTCTAAGTACCTGTTCAGAACTTACACCAAGTATTTTTCTAAACATGTGTTTGTAGCAAGAATGAAACTCCCATTCAACAAGCTTGTGCTTGGAGTGTCATCTGAGATGGGCAATTTCGGGCCAGGAATCAGGCATCCAGCCAATAAACAGTGTTGGTTAAGCCTGATAGACACCTGCATCTTTTCAGATGATATAAATGATAATTCTGCAGAGAGTTACAGAGGCAACCAGTATATGCATTATAAATGGGGAAAGAGAGAGAGAGAGACAGAGACAGATAGAAGATCCAGTCTCTGCAGGATAAACATTGAGAAAGATCAAACCAGTAGCTGTAGCATTGAAAGAGAGAGTGACACTCTGTACATATTATATATATATATATACACACACACAGCAGGAACACACAAAGGTGCCCAATAGAATGGCCAGAGTCATAGAATGGTCACAGTACAGAAGAGACTGTTGACCCTCCAAGCCCATGCCACCTCTCTGCAAAATTAATTTAGCTACTATCACTTTCACTTCATCCTTTCGCCAGAAATTAGCAAATCTTTTCTCTACAGGTGCTCAACTAATTCCCTTTTGGAATAATGATTGAATCTGGCTCCACCATGTATTTCAGATCCTAAACATAATATTTTCCTTCACCTTGCCACCTTTATTTCTTTTGGGAATCATTTTAAATGTGTGTCATCCTGTTCTCTCTTCTTTTCCAAACAGTTTCTTTCTATCCAATTTTCTACATATTTCCCCAGGGGTCTGTCCCTTCCTGCTTTAGAATTGTGCTCATTGTCTCCCAGAATCTTCTGACCAAAAATGTATCACTTCACTCCTCTTTTGGTTAATTTTAATCTGCCATGTGTTTGTCCATTCCTATGTCTATATCCTCTGGAAACCTGTCACTATCCTCCTCGTTCATTGTACTTCCATAAGAAAATTTTGAAATTGTGCCTTGTCGACTGAAGTATAAGCCATTAAGATAATATTGTTTCTCACAGCAAACCTTGAGAAATCACACTGTACACCCTCCTGTGATCTAAGAAACAACTGTTCCTCACAATTTTCCATTTCCTATCATTCAGTTAACTCTGCATTCACGCTGCTATTGTCCCTTTTATTTCATGCATTTTCACTTTGATGGCAACCCTGTTAAGTGGCATTTTATCAAATACCTATTGGATATCCATGAACAGCACATCAACTGTGGTCGCCTTATCAACCATCTGGGTCACCTCATTAAAAGCTCAACCAAGTTAGTTAAAGAAACTTTACCTTTAACAAATCCTTGTTGCCTTTCCTTAATTAATCTGCATTTGTCTGTGACTGTTAGTTTTGTCCTGGATTAGCACTGAAAGCTTTTCCACCATCTTTATTTTTGTGAAGACGGTTGTAACACCTGCAATTCTAGTTCTCTGGTGTTACTCCTGTACGTTATGGTAGTAATAGTCTTCTGCTCATTTCTCCAGGTCTTAGCTGTTGTCTTCTACTATTAGGAGCCTCCCATTTTCAATTACAAATTCTCTTACATCATCATTCTTTTACTTCTTCTTAATTTACATTTCTCTAATGTAACTCCAATGGCCTCCTTTGACAAGTTTGCTTGACTTAGAATAAGGCTAATTCAAAGTTGTCTGCC